ATAGTATTGGATATAAGAATTGTAATATGATGATTTATAAAGAAAAAACAAAAGAATGTATTGAATGTGAAAAACGATATTATTTAAATTCAAATAAAGAATGTCAATATAATTCACATTGTATTAAAATAAATAATCAAAATCATTGTATTGAATGTGAATATGGATATTATCTTAATTTAAATACAAAAACATGCAAAATACTCAAAAATGAATGTAAAATTGGAAATGAAACATATTGTTATCAATGTAAAGAAGGATTTATTAAAGAAAATGGAGAATGTAAAGAAAAAGATAATAAATGTAATAAATCAGAAAGAAATTATTGTTTAAAATGTTCAAATGGATATAAAATAGAAAATAATCAATGTAATGGAGATAAAGAAGATCAATGTTATTATGAAGGAAATAACTGTGTATCATGTTCAAATAGATATACATTAAATAATGGAAAATGTTCAAATAAAGAAAAGAATCAAAATGGAAAGAATGAAGAAATATATTGTGAAAATGGAAAATACATCAATAATAATAAATGTATAGAATGTTCAAAATCAGAAATATGTCAAACAAATGATATTGAAATAAAATGTAAATATGAAGAATATTTAGATAATAATAAATGTATAAATAAAACATGTGAAAAAGATATGATAAAAGATCAAAATGGAAAATGTAATAATAATATTTCATATTGTTTAAATAAATCATATGTTAATGGAAAATGTGTTGAATGTTTAAATACATATTCACCTAATTTGAACGGAGAATGTATTAATACAAAAATAGAATATTGTGAAGAACAAAATACATATGGATGTAAAAGATGTAAAGAAAGATATTATTTAACAAAAGACATGAAATGTTTAAAATGTGATGATAAATGTGAAACATGTTATGGAACATCTACATATTGTATGAGTTGTTCTAATGATAAATATTTAAGAAATGATAAAACATGTCAATCAAATGAAGAATTAAATGGAACATGTTTACGAATATTAGCAGATGGAAGTGGATGTGGAATATGTCATAAAGGATATTATAGAAATGGGAAAGGATGTTCAAAATGTGGAAAAGAATGTTTAACATGTAATCAAAAAGATAAATGTATAAAATGTGGAGAAGGATATTTTATGAGTTCAACAGGAATATGTAAATCAACAACAACAATTAAAGGATGTAAAGGAGAAATAGATAAAGAATATGGATGTAGAGAATGTTTAACAGGATATTATTTAATAAATAAAGAATGTTCAAAATGTGGAAATAAATGTATAACATGTTTAAATGAGAAAGAATGTAATAAATGTGAAGAAGAATATATAATAATAAATAAAGAATGTATTCATTATTCAAATATTAATAAATGTAAAGAAACAAAAAATAATAAATGTTCAAAATGTTCATTTTGGTATGGAATCAATGAAGACGGAACAAAATGTAATAAAGAAATTGTATGGTGGATGATAATGATAATTATCATCATTATACTTATTATCATCATTATAATAATTATAATTATAATAATAATGATTAATTACATTATAAAACGCAAAGAAAAGAAAGAACAAGAGAAAACAACAACAATATTTAAAATTTCACAATCAAATATCAAATTCATATCACTTGGAGATGGAATAATAACAAATAAAAAAGAAATAGAAATAGGAGAAGGAGAAGAAATTGAAGTAAATAAAGAAATCAGAGAATTAATATGTATTGGAAATGAAAATAAAGAAAAAAAGAAAATACAAATAAGTAGTAAAGAAGGAAATGAAAAATATTCAATTAGAATCAAACCAAATATTATTACAATTGAAGGAGGATATGCATGTGAATTTGAAATATTCATTACAATCAAATGTACTACTAAAATTAAAGAACAAATAATGATAATTAGTAAAACACTTAATAAAACACAAGAAGAAATAATTAAAAGTATTCAATAAAGGAGAAACA